AATTACATGAAGAAAATTGTAGTTAGTAACATTTTAGTATATACCCAAGTATAATATAGTATAATATTTAAATTACTTTTGACCTAACTCGTTTATCACATTGGTTTGAATACCATGCTGATTAAAACAAATAAAAATCTATTCCATTTTTTGTTATAAACAAGATGAAGTGCATTAAACATAACATTGCATAAGGGTTTACCAAACTGGGGTTTGTAAAGGAAGGTTTGTAAAGGAATGAAAAGCTAATAATTAATTAAATCCTAAAAAAATAAATAATTTTAAAATATAAAATCAAAACAAAACACTTAATAAAAAGGAATAAAACATTAGGGAGAATCAATGAATTATAAATAATTGACTGACATTCTGTGACTAAGTAATTATGTAATTAATAAAAAGTAACTTTATTTTAAAACATAATTTATTCTAATTACAAGTATTTAATTTCTGTAATCCATACTGGATTATAATACATTTATATTTATGTCAATGTAATGAATATATATCAAATTTAAATTATATTACATTATACATTATCATATAAATTATATATTTTATAGATGTATTATATAAATAAAAAGTTCAAAAGTTACACGTTGTTGATATAAAATATAATATAAAATAAGTAAAATAAAAATACATTCTAAGTAGGCCTATGTAGTGGTCTACTAAACACCCGCCCACTGCACTACATTCTGACACTTTGCACAACAAAGGAAGTAAATCATGTGACGCTCAGTAGTCTGGTGACTGACATGCAATGCAAAGAATGGACAGCAAGTGACAGGAACATAACAGGTCATCCTTTCCTTTGCACAAGAAGAATGTCACCACAATCGCCAAAATGCATTTCCTATTACCCGTTCAATAGTGAATCTTTTTTCTTGTACTTTGAGTTCCGAGGAGGAGTGATCTATCTGATAGCAATAAACATCGGTGAGCATTTGTCTTGCCAAGCATAGAGGCACATCTGACAAAGCAGAGGATATTAAGAACGCAGCACTCACGCGGTGACTCCATACTACACTGGAGAGAGAAAAACAGCTTTGTTGTCATGGTCCAATTTATTATTATTGTCTGAGGTAGCTGAAGCAGAATGACATAGATGTGCAGCCCAAAGCTTCAAATCATCTTGGAGGAAGACTTGCTAAGATTTTGAGCAACACATCCAATCTAAAAATGTTCTTTAACCATCAGCTTCCTTGCCAGGAGCCTTTATGTAGATGTCACATGTGGCATTTGACCATGACATCCAGATTTTATGAATGATTTAAGAGCTTAAAGCATTGGAAATTACTTTCTTTTGTCACCAGTTTCCAACTGCTGGACTTGATAGATGTTATCCTACTCAGTGTCTCCCAAGCATTTCAAATTTCCATTTATTTAAAGAGGAAATGAAGGGAAATTTTAACGGGTCACTAATTTCATTTCACTGTGTTCCGGTGGCATTAGGCCGGACCAGATATTTCAGAGGAGCACAAAATCAATGTGCACATTCTGTAGGGAATCGCTCCCTGAATCCATTAGTAACTTTGACCAAGAGGTCAGGTAAAGTAATAGCCAGATAAATGTTTTATTACTGATGCCCTGACTGACTTAATGGCCCAACTAAATACATACAGTACATCCATGCATGTCAAACACTTACGATTACATCGAGATGATGTAATGCATTTATCTTTGCTCTCCATGGCTCTTCATTACCAAAGCTGCTTCTTGCTCATTTAGATAATTGTTATGAGATATAAACTCAGAATTGTGAGATAAATGTAGAATTGCAAGATATAAACACAATTCGGAGAAAAAAAAAGTAAGAATTGATAGATTGTAAGTCACAATTCAGAGAAGAAACGTCTGAACTGGAAGATATGAACTCACAGTTGTGAGGGGGATAAAAAGTCAGAACTGTGAGACAAAAGTCACAATGGGAAAAAAAATGTGACATGTAAACTGTACATTTGGAAAAAAAATAATTTCAAGATATAAACTCAGAACTGCAAGAAAGTCGTAATCCTAAATTTATATCTTGCAATTCAAACTTTTTTTCAGAATTGTCAGATAAAAGGTCACAATTACCTTTTATTTTTTATTCTATTCCATAGCAGAAATACGCCATCAGAAAAAAACCAAAAAAAACAAAAGCCATGTATCCAAAATTAAAAGGTTTCAATTAAGGTATTTAAAAAGGATAATTTGCATATTAAAATTTTAGTGCATTCCATGCAAGATTTAGCATCCTTAGATGCATTCATGCATTTGCATGCTTCAGAGACTAAAAGCACATTAATGGTGCAGTAATCATGTTCTTAAATGCATAATGATTTGAAATGCCTAAGGACAGATTATATTTAAGAGTGATTGTGTATTCTTGCTTATAAACCATGCTTATAAACCATTTTTCTAAGCTGCATGACTGGTCACTAGTACAAAACAAGAGGGCAGTGTGAGTTGGAGGGCTTCATGGGAGGAGGTGGGCTCTCCGGCAGTGATTAGTGGCAGCTGTGAAGCATTCATGCTGCATCTCTCCTCTTCACTCCAACAGGCCACAAAATTCCACCAATCACAAGACCCCACTTTCAAACAGCGCAAAATTTGATTTCTTAAAGGGGCCGTTGCTTCAAACGGGAGAAGGGAAGCATTGTTTTGATTTAAACTGGTGGGTTTTCACTGGTTCCTGCCGGAAAGATGTATATTTTCAAAGCAAGATCAGATTATGTAAAGCTTTTTGACCTATTTTTATGGGTAGCCCACTTATACAATACAAACAATGACATCACCATTTCATTTAACAAATTGAGAGGAGATTTTATGGTGGTAAGTATTTGTTTATTAAAAGATGAGTCAAAGAGAGGTTCACATATGGAATGTGAGGCTAGACTGCCTTGTACTTCACCATTTTTCCCTGGCAAAGAGTCCATCATATTCCAAACCTTGTATCAAAACAGACTTCATGTAAGACCCACACAGAAATAAACAAAATATGTTTAAGTGCAAGAAAGAAAAATACAGGTTTATGGTTGTTGTTGTCATTTTTAATAGAAAAGACGGCAGTCTTAAGTTGAAAATAAAATGTTTCATCATATGAAACGAAAATATGGAATGTACCTTTTTTGCTTTCTTGGTATTTCTTCAGCCAGACCACCGACATTCATTATTTGCCCATTATGGCACATTTTCAAAAATGAGTCATTTTCAAATTGGTTGCAGGATATCAATTGTCCAATGTTTGTGGGTCAGTTTAAAGAGAAATGGTGGGGGTTTTTCTTCACAGAAAAGCACACTGTGTGACCATATTCAGTTACGATCAGTTCCAGCTGATTTCTTTATTCATCAACGACTTCAGCATCATGACAAATAATGATGTTGAGCAAGCAAAAGTCTGACTGTCCATCAATTTGCTACAAAAATGCAAAAACAAAACAAAAAAAATGTAGATGGTCTGCATTTACAAGTAAATATATTGCACAAAAAAATGAAGGGGAAACAGTATGTGCCATTAGAAAGAAAAAAAAATCCAGTCTCACACCTGCGATTTGGGATTCATCCACATATCACGAGTATGATATACATAAACTCCTAACTTTACTATTTTACAGTACATATACAATTTTGAAACTAATACCAGCACTGAGGTATGCATCTCCCCCCTCCCCAATGCCATATGTTCTACAAATACTCAACAAATTTGATCTACAGCTGTACAAAACCTAGCTTAAAATCACAAGGCATTTTTGATGCAAGTTTTAATTTAAACTTAATCCTTAAACCAGGACTCCCTTGCATGCTTAAAACAAATGATAAAGGGAAGAAGTGCCTGAAACTCACTGAGTGCCCAGTAAGAACATTCCCTTTTTACCTGTACAAAAATATGCCTGAAAATAGTTTGCTTTCTTTTAAAAAGATGAGGTCTGTTATGTATCAAAATGCTTCCTCTAACACCTGCAACTCTAAGGAGGTTTAGGCTGCTTAAGTTTCAAACCAGTAGGTAAACAGAATCGGTTCCAAAAAGAAAAGAAAAGAGGAAAAAAAAGTTCCGGCATTTAGAAATGACTAAACAACGTTTGAAAGAAACGTCCTGAACAGTAATAGTTCACAGATTTGCTTTGAGTCAGTCCACAGTCTTTACATTTTCAGCTCCCTGCAGTTAGAAAGAGGGTATAAGATGCATAGAAGTTCTCAGATTTTCCCTTTGTGGTCCGCTTTAGTTGAACAGTAATTGTAGACCTACAGAAAAAATCCATAAAACCCTGTCATGCTGCCAGAAAAAAAAGGTCTGCAGACTTTTTTCTTTTTTGCTACAGTACCAGCTTCATGAGCATCTAATTCCTCAAACCTTTTCCCTCCTATGGCAAACTATTTTAACATTTATTCCTTCAAACTAACTAGTATCTATTTTTTGCTACTATGACTTTTTTTTTCAATTACTAGCAAATAATACAATAGTGACTAGTATCTTATTCAATTTCACTACTTTTTCATTAAATACTGGTACTTATTCCTTGCATACTAATACGTATTCCTTTGCTGCTATTTTTGACATGCATTCCAATTGTTGCTGTATTCATTAGGTACCAAATTTTTTTTATTTGGTTATTATTTCAGGTTATTTTTTTTCCATATTAACTGAAAAGTTGTTACTTGTAGCGTTTTGAATTGCACTATTAAGAAGCTATTCTGACTAGTCTTTACATATGACAAGTAAACTAGTGTAACAAGTGAGGTAAGAAATGTAAGTAGGCTACTGGAATAGCGACTAGTAGCACTGTAGTACTATAAAGTAAATAGTATAGTCACCTTTGGAATACTTACCCGTAATAAAAAAAAAAAACATACTAGTAACACAAACACAGACACTATATAGTTTGAAGAAATAAATGTTAAAATGGCTTGCCATACTTGCCTCCTTCGCAAAGCCCCTATGTGTGGACCACCAGAAGTAGGCAGAGGAAAGAAATACGTACAGAACAGAGCATTATACCTCTCCCGTATGTTATTACTTGTCTTATTTAGTATGTAAAAACCAGGTCAGAAAAGTTCGCTTCGAGCCAGTCCCCAGCTATCATTTCGCTGAGCTCAGGCGTGCAATAGTCTGGAAATTCAAAGTGGGAGCTCAGGCTGCCCTCACTAAAAGACTCCAACTCCTTATCCACCAGAGAGAGGGAGAGATTCCCTGGGTTTTGGTTGCCCAGCTCCGAGCTTTGCGCGGAGGAGGCGAAGTTCAAACTGAAGTCAAAAAGCAAGTCGTCCGCGTCTTCGCTTGAGCTGGAAGAAGTGGAAACTGACCTAGAGGATGCTGGTGAGACGGATGCAGGATACATTGTGCTCTGCTTGGTGATGTTTTTGAAATTGTAGAAGAGTCTGTTGTTCCGGACCTCCTCGTACATGCTGGCGCCCTCGGACTCTGTAGACGAGCTCAAAGTTGGGCTGGCGGGAACTTTTGCTACATTGTAGGCTCGGATCGGATCCTCTTCCTCCTCCTTCACCCGGACTCGAGAGGAGTCCTCCTCGGAGTCGTCGTCGTCGTCTTCATCCGTGAATTCACTTTTAATGACAGTCTTTGAAACTTTAATGCTCTTAAACACGTACTCATCTCCGTAGCCGTGAGACGACTTGCTTCCCGTCTTGTTCGCTTTTAGTTTGGGACATTTCTTGGAGTTCTTGGACATTTTGTTGCAGGACTTCTCTGGAGATGGGGCTGAGGGTTTGGAGGAACTGTCCAGCTTTGGTTTCTTCTTGGGTCTGTATTTGTAGTCAGGATAATCAGCCATGTGTTTCAACCGGAGTCTTTCGGCTTCCCTGATGAAAGGTATCTTTTCGCTGTCCTTCAGCATTTTCCAGCGCTTCCCCAAGCGTTTGGAGATCTCGGCGTTGTGCATGTCTGGAGACTGTTCCATGATCTTTCTCCGCTCGATTTTAGACCACACCATAAACGCGTTCATCGGTCGCTTTATGTGTCCGGTCGCTGTCTTGCACCAGTCTGGGTTTATCGAAACCATGAATTCACTTTCGTCGGAGTCGGTGGCTTCTCTGGACATGCTGTCCGTTTCGCTGTTGTCCGTTTGCTGCACCATGGTGCCGTTGCCGTGTGTTGTCAGTCCAAAATATCACCCGCGTGCGTCTGCTCTCTGCGCCTCAGAGGTTCACCCACTCTTTCCAGAGTTACAAGCCGCCTTCTTAACTACTTCTTGGCTTTTTCATGTACATGACATCATGGGTAGCGCTCCAATCACATCCTCTCCACTCCGCCCTACAGACTCCATGCAGCGCGCTTTAACCCTTAACGCGCTCCCGTCTGGACCCACGCTGCGCGAGACGCGCATATCACTAGATAAATTGAACGGGGAATGCGAGAATCAACACGTAAACAAGCGAAACCAAACAAACCGTTCACACCAAATGGTTAAGAATCCTTTACGATGTGAGACTATAGGCGCGAGTAATGTTGTGAAAACATTTGTGTATGAAAGCGGTTTTCTCTCGCTCTCCACACTCTCTCTTAATAAAATACTGAAGGTGGCGCTTGGACACTGTTCCTGTGTTCATATATGGGTGATTCTTCGATTAAGGGAAATGTTCTGTCTTCTGGGATGGTTTCAAATTAAGAAAAGCGTTTTAATAAAACAATCTATCCTAGAAAGTCATTCTAGGATAGATTGTAACAACTGTTTTGTGTAGGCTATTTAATTAGCTGAAAAAGAAAAGAAAAAAAAAACCGTGTTGAAATGTTTAATTATCATTATTCCCTATACCCAGACATTACTATAACCTCCCCTATTTAACAAATATATAAAATGTGTTAAAATCAGAAAAAAAAAAAAACTTAATTTAGATAGTATTTGGTATACTGCTGTCATTTCCATGACAGTTTTATGTTTTATGGTGTATGAAAGTAAAAAAGAAGCTAGTTCAAGGCTAAACTACAAAAAAAAAACATCCCACATTATATCAATAATCCAAACTAGCACACATCAAAACCCACCTGAAGTTTGATCAAAGCAAAAATCAATTATCAATTATGAAAGGACATGTGATACATATTTCAACATAGAAAAAAAAAACACTGAAAAATATATACCTTTTAACACCAGTGTATCTGTCTCTATATGTGTGTCTGTCAATATAATGTATTGTTTTATATCGGATATAAAACAGAGTGGTTTTTACAATAATATTGATTACAGTACTTAATTTTTTCCTTTTTTTTTAAATTCTGCATTTATTTATTATAATAATTATTTACCAACATTAAAAAGGCAATATAGCTTCTTAGAGCTATCCATTTAGCAAATGACTTGTGATTGTCTAAAGTGGCTTATTTCTGCCTGGGAATAAATTCATTTTCAGTTTTCTCAGCTAAAGGGAAAAGTAAATGTCATTTCTCTGTGTGCTTCATTAAAAGCCAACACATCCCTTTCTCTGCCCACTGTGGTTAACAGTCAGTAATGTTACTTGGAACTATGCATCTCCTGTTTTCCGTCCCCTAGAGGGCAATCACTAGCCCTTCAGAGACCTTACATCACCCTTACCTCTGATGATGGAAGAAACTGCCCTGAGCAGTGGACATGTGACTAGTTTTGCCTAAAAAGGTTAGGTTCGAGCACATACGACAAGCTTACAGAAGCAATCTGCTCTCTGAGTGATCACAAACCTGCCCCCACTCTCTCACATTTCTCCAATCCCCCTTAAAATCTCAAGGTCATCCATTTGTAAATAAATAAATAAAAAATCTATGGTAACATACAGAAATCTGAAGCCAAGACATCAGCCTCTGCTATTGGATGAGAGAAGAAATGTTGAATGAACAGGTATCTATGGTTTCGGTCTGCTCTCTTGCTTTGGTTACATCATCGTTCTTGTGATAGGCTCACAAACAGAGGTGAATCAGAGCTACCTAATGATGTGCCGCTCATTAGCATGGCTCGTTAAGGGCTGTGAATGAGGTGAGAGTGTCAGCCACTGCAGAGGTGTGAGTCATCCTGAAAAAGGGAGGGTCTCAGTGCAGGGAAATCTGAAACATCCTCTCTCCCTTGACTGCTGTGCACAACACACACACATTTGTTTTTCTATCATGGCAGTCGACTTTCTATTGATTTCAGTTTTTTAAATACTGACCTAATGACATTTTCTCACCCTAAACTTGACCCTCACAGAAATCTTTTTGCATTTTTACATTTACATTAAGACATTGTTTTGCATGTTTATTAGACAGCTTTCTATGTGGGAACTGTTGCCTGATAGGTGATTACATGCTTTACTATCCTTGTGGGACATTTGGTTCACACAAAGCAGACAAAACCTCACTGACCCACACATACACATACACATGCACGCACACACACACACACACACACGCACGCACGCACGCACACACACAGGAATAGGTAAGTCAACAAGATAAGCATTTGTGGTCTTTGGTGTTGCTGTCCACATGTGCATCCGATTATGTGTTTTGCAACTCACTCTTCCAAAAGAAATATATCTAGAGTTGAAATATTGTGTTGAATAGAAGCATTACTATTATGACTGGCTGTATGACAACCTGCTTTGCATAACAAGGCCGCTTTAAAATGTATATACAATTAAGTATACATAAACACACACACACACACATAATAATAATAATAATAATAATAAGAAATTCTAATATTCTGATTTGCTGCTCCCCCCCAATAAAATAAATTACAATAAAATAAAATAAAATAAAATGGCTGAATAAAAACCTGCTTTGCATAACAAGGCCGCTTTAAAATATCAATTGTGTATATGCAATTAAGTAAGACTTGTAATGTTTTTTAAAGAAGTCTCTTATGCTC